CCTCGCCTTGCACGCTGGAGTCCCCGGAGCGCGCGCGGGAAGCTGGCTGCAGCGCCGCGGGAGCCGCTTGGGGGGAGCTTGCCCTGAGCGTTGGAGCGGGGGTGGCCTGTCGGAGCGCGGAGCGGGGGTGGTTGCCGGAGCCCGGGGTTGAGCCGCGGGAGCTGGGTTGGCTGCCGGAGCGGTAAAATTTTTTTTTTTTTTTTTTGACCGGCGGTTCAAGACTGCCGGTAAGGGCCGCCGGACAAAATTACCGCCGGAATTCATGTTTCCTACGCCGTTTTGTACCGGCGGTATTAAACCGCCGGAAACTAACAAAACAGCCGGAAAAGGTTCAATTACCCGCCGAAAAGCGCCGAGAAATGGTGGATTTTTTCCTGTAGTGAAAATTGAAGTTTAGGTGTGAGTAAGGTAAATATTAGATGTTTTGGTGTTAGGTATGGTAAAAATCCCTAAATTTTTATTAAATAAGAGAATGATGAATAAGGAATGAATTAGGGAATGAATAATTAGAATTTTAAATTCATTAGAGGAAGGCAATTTTAATTATGGTAATTAATGGAAAAGGAGGCTGCTTCGTGCGTGGGGGGGGGGGAGGGGGGGGGGTTTATTGGGTGGAGTTCAATTAGGATTATCTATGTTGGTTTTTATTATATGTGTGATTTGATTTTTGTTGTAGTTTTTCTTTCTAAGAGGGCTTCTTAGTGACGTTTAGGAGGTTTGGAGATGTCGATCTACCTGTAGAACATTGTATATTTCCTTTTTTGTGTTGAAAGAGTAATCCCAAAATTAGCCACTTTTTCTCTCATTTTCTGCAATTTTTTTTTTCCTCATTGATTTTCCCTTCTAAACATATCAATTAGCATAGCTCTAGTGAAAATAAGGATTAAGAGAGTTTCGTCTTAGATAGTTTGGTCACATAGAACGCCAAACCTTCCGATGACCCGGATTAGGAGAATAGACGTATTAAATATATATGACCTTATATTAATAAATTAAGCACCCAATCAGATACTAATTTCATATAATCTAATTTTAATTCACCAACCTAGTCTAATGGATGACCAACCAAAATTTAATTGACCTTGATTTTGGAGAAAATAAAAATTGGTTAGATCTACTCCTTTAGAAGGGTCTAACTTGGGAGTGTGAGGTATATGCATAACAAACATATTTTATCTTAGGGGTATTAAGTATGAGTTTGTTTGATCTAAGGTTCAACAAAATTGAGTTAAACCATTCATAAGTTCAAATATGCATTGATTTATGATGTGTGATTTGCATCATAAGTCATGCTAGTTGCTATTCTAATAAGAACTGACCTTATAATCAAATTTAAAAAATAGGTCCTCTATCGAAAATGAGGACAACATTATCAAAATTATATATATACAACCATTTTATTTCATGCTAAATTGGATAATTCTGAATTCACCAAATCATTTGGTGCATTCATGTTGATCCTAACAACTAAAAAAAAAAAAAAATCATCATAAATTTGATAAAGATGATTCAGCTAGAATGCGAATTGTAGTTTGATTTTCTTTTTGCTATGCGGCGGTTGAGAAAGCAATCAAACGAGGAACATCAAGTTATTGTTAATGGACTGGATTTGTACAGAAAACATTTCTCTTCTATCTATAGTGGGGGATGGTCTTATGGGAAAGACAACTCTCTTGCAATATGTTTTGAAAGACGAAGTGACAAAGGAATTTGATCCTAAAATGAAACTTGAGGAGGAGATGTCCAAAAGGTTCTTGCTGGTCCTCGACCACATTCAAAGTAAAGGGAGAAACGACATAATAGCAAATGGGAAAGTATGCTTGCCCCTCGTCTTGTGGAAAATTTGGGAAGTAAAATTTTGGTAATGACTCGGAGGGGATCAGTTGCATTGATGATTGCACAAAATTGAGTTAAAATTACATATTTCCTATCTTAAGAATGAGCTATATATTCCTCTCAAGGCATCGACAAGATTATTTTGTATTTTATTGTATATTCCCATGAGATCATTGGCTCGATAGAGAAGGTATGGTACGAATGTGGATTACATCAGGTTCCATTCCGCCACCTTGTATTCATAAGAGGCTGTGGAGGATATTGGGAGGAAGGATGCCGAGGAGGCTTGCAGTGCCAAATTATGAGCCGAAAAGGGAGATTTTGATTTCGCCAAGAACGTGCTCGCAACCTCTATCCACCAAAATGTCTAAGCATACCATAATATATATATATATATATATATATATATATATATATTATATATATATTATATATTTATATATATATATATATATATATATATATATATGCAAGGTCTGCAATATGGATGAATAATGTCAACTGATCTTCAATCTAGAGAAAATTGAATTGACAAGTTGTTCAAAGTGCGAAGATTTTTCCATCTTGTGGGAAACTTCCTTTCCTCAAGTCTCTATAACTTGTTTGGATGCTGAAAGTGAAATGGCTCGAAAATAAATTTAATGGGAATGATGAAAGTCGTGCCCTTCCATTGCTAAAGGTGTTACATATTTTTGAATTAGAAGAACTAAAGGATTGATTTGAGGCAGGAATGATCACTGAAGATGGTTATTTGTTTCCTTGCCTAATTAAATTGGACCCATCTTACTGCTTGAAATGGGAAGAGTTGTCCTCTTTATCCTCCATACTCTCGAGAGGTTGAGCATAGATGAAATTGGGTGAACGAATTTGAATTTTTGCAGCAATTCAAATTCTATTACCCACGAAACGTCAACTATCATTCATCTAGCTAATGAAATGGCAAGACTTACAACATTAAGACACTGGAAATTAGAAATTGCCTCAAAATGAACTTTCTCGGAGAAATACACGCCACTAAGGACATCTCCAATGAAGAACTCCATTTTTCATGTCAAAATACCGCAAAACGTAAAATAGCGTGGTGCTGTTCCAATCGAACGTCATTTTTTTGCTTCTGCGCGAAGGTAACGATCCTTCTAGTTTCACGCGTTTTTCCGGTTGAGAGAGGAAAATAGCGTGGGTGAACAGTGCAACGCCAATATTGGCGTTGCACTGTTCACCCGCAAGCAAATGACGGACGTTTTGACGTTCGGCTGGAGGGACCTAATGACACCAAACGCTCGTTTGACGTTCGGTTGGAGATGGTCTAATAACTATCACATACACGCCACTAATAACTATCACCTGAGGCTTGGCAGTCTCATAATAGGTGCATTAAAAAATATTGCTTTCTTAGAAAAGGTTGATTATCATGATAAGGTTTTGATTTGGTTATCAGCAAAAAAAAAAAAAAAAAAAATCAGCCAAGCTAAAGTCAAACAAGAAAAGTCACGAGCAAGTTAATGCTAACCTTGTATCAATCAAACTCGTTTTGTCGGAATGAGAGCAGAATGAACCCTTTTTTTTTTTTTTTACGCACAACAACGCCTTCAACCTTCTGTCAGAGTTCCAGCTCTCAAATACCTCCTCCGATCTTGCCTCCCCCACGCCGCTAGACAGTAGCGATCACTCCTCTTCTACTACAGCAGCAAGCGTCGAACTTCCCATTGTCTTCGTTGATTCTCCACTCCGGTATCCAGTTGATAACTTCATTATATAGTAAGCTTCCGGTTTCCTAGACCCACATTTCATTCATATGGTGAATGCTTGAACTCTTCCACCTATAGCAAACTGTAGCTAGACTTTCCTCTTTAATTCCTTGGATTTTAGTCAAAAGAAACTTTTTAAGCCTGCCACAGGTTCACATGAAAGCTGACATATTGTCCTTCTTGCATGTGAAGATTCAGAACTTTTTTTTTTTTTTTTTGCTAATATATTGTCATTTGTTTTATACTACTATTACCTACTTTTTATATAGATCTTGTATTCTTGTTACTATTAATCAGTAAATATTTATATTATTAGTAGTTTCAACCACTATTATTTCAAAATAAAAGGGAAAGGATCTTTCACTAAGCTGAAATTGTTCTCAGCATGTATTTTTTTGGTTTACTATTCTTCATTTTGCTATTGATAGCTAATAACCCACTTGAACTTATAGCAACATCTATGTTATATTACCCTTATCCCCCTTGTAAATAATAATTAACCTCTCGGCTCTTTTTAAGAAAGAAATTTATCCAAATCCTAAATCTTAGATCTAAATGTTACGTTATGTGACAATGTGCTAAGGGAGTGAAAGATAATCCACTCTGATATCCTATACTTACTATATATATATTACTAAGTTATACTTGCTATTAAATAACTTCTTACTGTAATAGAAATTAGCTGAAAAAAGAAAGCCCTACTCATAGGGCTTCTTTGGTATCTTATTTTAGGCAAAATCTAAGCAAAATTAAACATGAATTCACATCATTTTGATAAATCTTACCCTTGTGCTTCAATTCTGGAAAGTTGCCATGACAACCTACAATCCTTCTCTCTCAAACAGTCAAACTAGTCATAAACTTAAATTGATTTATGTAGCTCATCTTGATTTGTTGATTTTTAAGTTTTAGCTATCAACAAGAGGTATTTGATTCAAGTCTTACGTATATGATGATTGTATGAATTTGTCTTAATTGACCTAAATGTTCAAAAAGAAAATATCATCCACTAAAAATGATATTTTTTCTAATAAAAAAGTCGTTTTGGGTATCATACTTAGGCTTTGTTTGAGGAGAAATTATTTTGTGTGGAGTCTGAACAGTAAGAACAGTCAGGACTATGAGTGTACACTAATTTGATACACACTATATATAAATATGTTCTCAATATCTACACTCATATATCCGAATGATTCTTCTTATCATAATAAACTTTTTTATTTAAGACAAATTTCATACTACTTTCTAAATAAATTTTTTAGTATAATTTTTTTTTAAAGTGGTGTTAAAAACAAAAACTGACGTGCGCAATGATGCAATAAAAATCTTAAAAAATTTGTATTTGTTATTAGAACAGCTGAATTAGCAGAGTTAATTACAAAGCAATCCTAATCTAATACCAGGAGCATGCTTTGCTACCTAATTTTTTCTTTTTTTAATTTTGTGATAGATTATTTTATTGTTTTTTAATCGAAAGCCACTCCGGCGTTCGGCTTTACTTTGCCTTTTATAATTTTCCTTTTTCCGTAAATCTAATTCAAGAATCTCTTTGTGATTTGTGAAGTGCCGCTGAATAAGGTTCAATTTTCCTGTTTTCGGTTTTCCTCTGATGTTCTGATTTTTTGGAGCGTCTCCTTGCGACAATCTGGCGGTTTCGACCATAGACCTTAGATTTTCTAGTATTTTTTTTTATTTATTATCGGCACTTCTTTTGAAAATCCCGTAGTTTTTCTCTATCTGCTGAGAAAATTAGGGCAAAAAATTGCTTTTAAGATTGATCTTGATCGTTGTAACATGTTACATCCTTAATCGTGTTTTATCCATGGCGTCAGGTTATTAATCTTTTCCCCTTCTCCCACTTGCGTGATTTGTTCAGCAAACCGTTGCTGTCGTTATATCTTCGTCTCGTCAAAATTCTGGATAAAAATGAGTTCTGAGCCCGAGGGTTTAGGGTTTTTTATTGACCAAGTCGGCTTCTTTCTTGGTTTTTAGGGCTCTCTTCACCTGGATATTCTCGTACTAAATCCAGATCTTTGTGGAATCTCTGTCACGACCAGTGAAGTGACCCCCATCTTTTCGGCAGACGAAAGTTTCCTCTTTCAGCCAATTAATTCTCCCCTGACTTCAACGATTTTGGTTATTTATCACTTTCTCAGTCTAGAGCTATTGAAGGCTTCCACTTTGCATGCATGGATGTGAGGTCCGATCCTGCAATCATGTCCAATAGGGACTCGTTTACTATCAGCGTTCAGAAATCTCCAGCATCGTCGCCGACGCCTGTGGTGCAGAGCATGCGAATGCCGTACACCAGCGACGGCACGCAAGTATTCAGGCCAGTCTCCGGCGTCTCTGCGTCTGCTTCATACCAGGTAGGGGGAGCTGAGTTACCGGCCGCGCAGAATCTAGCCGTGAACCCGGGGGAGCCTGTGAAGCGTAAGCGTGGGCGACCGAGGAAATACGCCGCAGATGGGAAGGCGGCTCTCGGACAGTCTGCGGCAGCACTGTCATCACCTTCTTCTGCTGGGTTCTCTCTGTCCTACACATCATCTGCAACTCCTCGGCCGCGGGGTTCATCTTCTGCATTGCTGCTGGAGCACATCAAGAAGGCAAAAGGCCGGCCGTCGGGTTCCGGTAAAAAGCATCAGATGGATTCTTTAGGTGATAAATCTTTCTCATTCCGTTGCTTCGACGCTTTGAAAAGCTTGCTCTTTTTGGTGGTCCGTGGGCCTCTGGGGTTGTCGAATGAATTCCTCTCATCATGACGTGTTGTACTTATTTTGCTATCTGTTATTGGTGTGATATATGTCATATTGCAGACAGTAAAATGAGTGGTGGAATGACCAATTTGCCCATTGATGAGGTAGCTAGCTCTTGGTTTTGACATCCAATATCCAACTAATGTAGCGTTGAACACCCTTTTTTTTTTCTCTTTTTAAATGAGCAATATTTCCCCAAAAAGCAATAAATTTTGAACAAGCAATCTTCTTCTGTTCACCGGCCTAATTTTTTTTAGCTGTATAAGTTACAGAGGTGCACACAGTTCATCTTGGTCATTTGGTTGGGAGCTTAAGTTACCAACTAAGAGATCCTGAGTTTGAGTTTTGTGTATGCGATGTGTGTGTGAGTCTGCCTTAATTGATCTAAATATCCCAAAAAAAAGTTACAGAGGCGTAGGTGGAGGTAAGAACTGGTGGTTTTAGTACTGGATCAATTTATTAATTTTTGTTACAATTGAATTAGTTTTGTCAAATGATTTTTTGTATCCGGTAATGCTGGATCTTTTTCCTTAAGACACGTAGTTTGCAAATCATGAATAATAAATAAATTCTCTTCATCACTTTAATGGTTGATATATTTGACCAAATGATGTGTTCTAAAAGTTTTTTTTAATCTGTCTAGTGTTATATTTATTTTTTACTAGATTTGTTGTGCTTGGCCTTGAATAATAAATAATATTCAAATTTCTACTTTAAGTTTAGTCTTACTGGTTATGTTTTATTATCCGTGTTGCTGTTTTACCTCATTTATGTATTTGTCAATATTTTTTTTTTGCAAATGTTTTGATCCTATACTAAAAAAAAATTACTTACAGGATCGGGTGGGATTGGGTTTACCCCTCATATAATCACAGTGAAAGCTGGAGAGGTATGTTTATTTATTTTTCTCATCATGCTATGAGTCGACTTTTATGATGGGCAAAAAAAAAAAACTTGTTTTCTTCTTGATTGCATCTCTCCATTGTATAATTCAGGCTTTGGATTGTTATTTAATGGTTATATACTTATATCATGAAATTCTGATGTTTACGAACTCTTATAATTTCTAACCTTTGTTTGTGAATGTTGCCTTGTAATCTCTTGAGTGTTTGTTCTTTCTAAATATATGCGGGCAAATGTTTATTGACATCCTATGATTATACAACAGGATTTTAATTTATAAACATAAATGGTTGCATACATAATAATGATATAATTATTTGTCTTGCTAGTAGTCTTCGTTATACTTTTCAATATTGTCTTATTTTCTTACAATAACATTGCACAGACCGCCGTCCTGCTGCAAATCCAAAAGTCTATACTTGACGGAAGCGCAAAATTGTGCACTGAGACGAGTAATTTGATGATCTAAGCAATGTTTCTACGACATTTTGATCAACTTAGTTGTTTTTTATTTGTAATTTGACATTTTGGTGTAAGCATGCTTATAATGGTGATTCCTATGAGAATGGGTTGTGTTCCCTAACGTTCTGACTTGTCTCCCCTCAATTTGTGCCATTGGTTCCTTGTGGTTGGATATTTGGGCTTCAATTGAAATGTGTCATTAGTTACCTGTTAGTTTAAATGAGTCTTGTTGCGATGGGCCTTAATTAATTGTTTCATGTTGGGATTTTTTATGATAAAAAGGTTATGTTGTATGGGATTTATCTGTATATGGCATGGATTTTGGCTATGTTACTGGTGTTGAGGACGTTAGAACTTACACCTGAAATTAAAGCTGCTGCTTTGCCGCTGAGTTATTATGGAGGTTGGCGGAACTTGCACATGGTATATATATATATATTTTTATATATGAAAGCGAAAACTGTTTTACCTAGTATAGATTGTTGTGTTGCTTTCCTCAGCAATTTTGTTAGAGCTTTCATGAATTCTTGATGCTACTTCGTTTTCTATCAGTTTTAGACATATTCTTTAGAATAATTTTATCTGCTGCTCATTTTTACATTGTTTGTACCTGGTTTTGCCTGCTATCTTTGTCCCAGGATTGAGAAAAAAGCAATGATTAAGTAGAAACGCTTTTTATCTATAACCTATATTGGAAGTGATGAACATATAGAAATATTTGGGTTACGTTGTTGATTATTAGGTGATTTCCCATCACTGATTATTTGCTGACATCAATGTTACGAGTGCCTGGATAATTTCTTTGTATTGTTTATCCTTTTAAAGTTTATTTTGTATTTTTAGTTCGTTCTTTAATCATACTTCATGTCATATGGTTTAATTTCCTCCATAATTTTCTTATTTTATTAGATGATTTTATGTTTTTTTCAATTGTTTATATGTTACAATTTATAAAATGCTTTTCTTTCGAACTACTTTGAACTCTTAGCTTTTCGAACAACCATTAATATGTTACAGTGTTTTCATATCACCTATCATTTTTTGATCTCCTGTTAACAGTCTATGTGACTTGTTCTTGAAAGATTAACTAACATGAAAATTGTGCTAGAGGCAAGTTGATTCATTTTCTTGATGCAAAAAGTAAAATAAAAATTTATTTTTATTCTTGTCTATGATGTTTGATTTACCCAGGATGTTTCATCAAAGATCATGTCATTTTCACATCACGGGCCTCGTGCAGTGTGCATTCTTTCGGCAAATGGCGCTATCTCAAATGTAACTCTTCGTCAAGCGGCAACTTCAGGCGGCACTGTTACTTACGAGGTCAGCTGTGATAGAATCCCGACCTTTTAGAACTTATAATTCACTTTCTTTAGTGCATACACAAAATAAGTCATCAGTTTATAATTACTAGCTGGAGTAAGGCATGGATATGCTCCTTGAGCTGAAAATGGAGCATTCTTCCTGGTTAAACCACTTAGAATCCTTTGTTTATTTTCCTGAATAATGCAACAACAATTGAAACCCGCTTAACTAAATTGAAAGGGAACGGTGAAATAAAATAATTATGCCAAACACGTATGCAATTTTATATGATGTTATGACATTTGCAATCTATTTATAATGCAAATTTGCTATTGCTTTCAAATGTCATACAGCTTCAAAACAGAGTATATTCTCCTCCGGTTGATAAGTCATGATTTATGAAGAGAAAAGGATGAAAATATTTTATGAATTATAATATTAAAGATAATTCAATCTTATCTTTGAAAGTTTTTTTTTACGTTAAAATGGATAAGTGCTTAGGATTTACTTGATAAGTTGTTCGGGTTTACTTGTCAACTCCAAGTATTTCCTAACATTCTTCTACATAAATTTTTTTCTTGAATTTTATATTGGATAATTTTCCAAAATAACCTTTTGTCTTTCATTAATGTCTCATTCTTAATTAATGGGTTGTTTGCTTGGTTGAAACTTATTAGTAAAACATTTAAATGCAAAAAACCTTCGCTTCTACAAATAAAATGATCCCCGAAGTGATGTAACTTTACTTGTAACCGAACAAACAAACGATCGTAATTTGCATGTAAATGCTTCAGTCAAAGAATTTGTTAGTAGTTTAATTTCACTTATTAAAATAATTGAGTGTTCTCTCTCTTAAAGCTTGTGATCATAATAATATGTTTACATGTAGTTCAAAATTAATTATAGCTTCAACCACTTTTCCATTTAAGGCATCACTAGTAAATATCCTGTCGTCCTTAAGCATGCAGAATATTAGTCCATCTATTCCTCCCAAAATCACTTTTTTAACATTCTTCTGAATGAAGGGGAGAATAAACTTTAACTGGCATTATAATCTTTTCACTGATAGTTAACTTTTCTTCACAAAATAACTTTTTTAAAATTCTTCTAAACCAACTTGAGGAGAATAAACTTGAACTGGCATGATGATGTCCTCCTGACAGTTAACTTTGGTATAAGTTATCTTATCACTATCCTATTCAGCTCAACAACTCATCTATCAACTCGTCCTACCCTAGTTCATTTCTATTGTTTACCTTTTCCGCATGCATAACCTTATCCTTACCTAGTATCTTTTGATTTTATCTTTTGATCTTTAGATTTGACTTATGTTAAGAAAGATAGAGGTATAACTAAGAAGACTTGGTTAGAAAATATTATAAATGATATTTCTTTATTAGATTTAAACGAGAATTTAACTTTTACCAAGACAATGGAGAAAAAGGATTCATGTAGCTGATCCCACGTAACGGGACAAAAGTTTGATGTTGTTGTTGTTGTTGTAGTACTAAGTTTCACTAATATGTTGCAAACATGCAATCAGACATCTCGAGATATTCGACCTTCTACTCTTTTCCATCATATTTGGATAAATTTGTTGTGCATCACTTACAGTTAATGTTCAAGTCAAACTGAGTTGTGACATGTCATTAATGAGTGACATCCTACCCAACTACTTTCGGCTTATTATCTTAATTGGGATAAGATTCGGGTAGTTTTTGGGATGGCCTAGGAATTTTTACTGTATAAGGTTTTGTTTGGGATGACTTTCTTATCGCTTCATAAAGCAGCTTTTTCGTATAAAAATTTTAATTTTTGTACAAAAAAGTTGCTTTAAGAAGTAGTAAGAAAGCCATCCCAAACAAAGCCCAAGTCTTACAATTTATTGCTAATCTAATATCAACCCCAAAAGTTCTCATCTGGGCCGTGTGAAACTGGCAACAATGGTTTTACTTTAAGGTCAGATGATGCAGGCACTGAATTTTTTTGTTAACGAAGCCTCTTGACTAGAAGTATGTGATTCCAAATTAAGTAATTGTTACAGACATTTTGAAGCAGGTTGCACATGGATAATCTTAGTTGATTTTACTATCCAAATTGAATAGTTTGGTGTTTTCTGCTCTCAGAACCACCATTATAAAACAAAATGAAAGCCAATCTTTCTTTAACTTTGATTTGATTCATTTTTTTAAGAAAAAGTGGTGATATTGGGATTTGATGTGTGTAATTTCATATATGAGTTCCATCTAAACCAAAATTTGCTTCTGAGTTTTTCTGTTTTTTTTCATAGTCTGCTTGAGATATCTTGCAAGATAATGGAACTCATTTACAGGGTCGTTTTGAGATCTTGTCACTTTCTGGCTCATTTCTGCTATCTGAAAGTGATGGTCAGAGGAGTCGAACTGGTGGTCTGAGTGTATCGTTGGCTGGTCCTGATGGGCGTGTCTTGGGTGGTGGAGTTGCTGGACTTCTGACTGCTGCTTCTCCCGTTCAGGTCTGTTTTTCTTATGCTATGCTATTACCATGCACTTAAATTTCCAGCTTCCTCTACCAGAGTTTTTATGCGACGAGGATTATGGAATGACTGATGCGTGGTTTTGATCATAGGAAGTTCATTTAAGACATTAACATAATTGGTGGTCTATTTTATGTGGGTTTATTTTATAAAGAAGCAGATTAATCGCTAGAATTAGTAAAAAAAATGTGTTTATTAAAAATTTAATAAGGAGTAAATTTGCCAAACGAAATAGCGCATTTAGAATGTGTCAAAAGAAATTGTGCATTCCGAATGTGTGTCATTTAGTTTGGCACATTCAACTCTAGGGAGAGAGAAAGCGCAGATAGAAGAGAGAAAGACGGCTAGGGAGAGTAGGGGTGTCAAAAATTGACCCGACCCGGAAAGTTTCGGGTTTGGGTCAACCCGTTTTCTATACGGGTCGGGTTTGGGTTTGAGTTTTCGACCCGTTTGTAAAATAGGGTCGGGTACGGGTTGACCCGACAAACTAAATCAACCCGTTTTGACCCGTTTAAAACAAACTAATTATCCATTGGTGCAGCCGTGCAAGAAACTAGGCCAGCCGTTCGCGTCGAGTCAAATTGAATGTCAGTGACTCAGTCGTCATGTTAGGGTCTCGTCAGTCGTCCATCACGTTGAGCGGTTCAGCCTTCGAGGTCAAGCCAGGCAGCCCAGCCATCCATTGCCTAGGGCCAAATGCAAGTTTTAACCCCTCCCGCTCCCGCAGACTGCAGTTTAGCCTTTTGCCACCTTGCTCGCCTCCTCTTGCCGTCAGGAGCTCGCCTGCCTCCGGATATCAGGGCAAGCTACACACGATCCCGCACCCGTCCCTTGTCAAGCTACACGCGATCCCACAGCTCACGGCTCAACCGGTCACGCCCATTTTTTAATTCAAACTGGACCCGACCCGCGCGGGTCAAAACGGGTCGGGTTTAGGTTGATCCGTTTAGATCCGGGTCAATCCGGGTTCGACCCGAACCCGACCCGTCGACCCGAATTGACACCCCTAAGGGAGAGAGAAACAGCGGGACCGCAGGAGAGGGAAAGATGGTGGAAGAGAGAGAGGCAAAAAACTTTTTAATACTTTTTTACACAGTTATGTATTGTGATTTATTTATTTATTTATGCTTTTTTAAATAATTCTAAGGAAAAAATTTAAATAAAATTTTATAAAACAAAAGAAATAGTTATCAATACATAACAAAAATCAAAATTAAATTTTATTTAAGTTTTTCCTAGAATTATAAAAATAAAAAGGCCGTCAATGTGATTAATTTTTTTATTTATTTATGAAATTTTATCTATATTTTTTGAGAATTTAAATTTTATTTATTTGAGTTTTTAAAGCCGTATATATAATTGGAAAAAAAAAAAAGAATAAAAATGATCATGCGTAGATATTTTATTTATTGTTTTTCCTAAGGATTATTTAAAAAAAGGCCGCTAAATAAAATTATTTTAATGATAAAAAAAGTCAATTACCCACTTAAATGCATAAAAATATATATAATAAATATCAAAATAAGTTTTTTTTTCTTTGAATTTAAAATTTAATTTGAATATTTGTTATGTATTTATAAATATTTTATTTTTGTTTTATAAAATTTTATTGAAATTTTTTTCTTAGAATTATAAAAAATGGAAAATAATAGTTAAATCACATTTCTTAAATTTGCAAAAATGTATTAAAATTTTTTTCCCCTCTCTTCCGGTCTCTCCCTTGCCGTTTCTGTCACCCCCTTCTCTTTCTCTCCAGCTGTTTTTCTTTGTCTGTCATGTCTGCGTTCTCCTTGTGTTGAATGCTCCAAATCAAATGCCGCATTTGCTATTTTGTTTGGCAAATTTGCTCATTTTCAAAATTTTTTATAAACATGTTCATTTTGCTAATTCTGATGATTAATCTGCTTCCTTATAAAATAAACCCTTTTATGTGTGACTCACATCCTCTTCAAGTATCCTACTCATAGGATACTGTCCTATTACACATCCAATGTCTATTTACTATTTTGTAAGCATTTTTTATTGTTTCTAAATAAATCAAATCGCTTTTAAAATCATCCAAATTAACTTTCAGGCATTTCCATTATTTTCAAAACATGAACGCCTAGCTGATTATGCTAATAATTGATACATCATATAGCGGTTCTCATTAAGCAACCATTTTTTTTTTTTTGGGGTACAGGTAGTTGTGGGGAGCTTCATTGCAGATGGTGCAAGGAAGGAAGCAGAAGTAATCAGCCCGACCGACGGTGCATCTACTCCTGGTAAACCTGCTCCTGCGGCGATGCCCGGTCCCTCAAGCCCAGCCTCCCGGGGCACATTGAGCGAGTCCTCCGGCGGAGGACCGGGCAGCCCGACTAACCAGAGCGCCAATGGCAATAACAATCAACCAAGCCTGGCGAGTATGCTATGGAAGTAAAGCAAACCTCCATATTTATTTAACCTTTCAGGTATCAGTGCAAGCTAAGGAATCCTAGATTTTGAGCTTAGTGAGGGAATATAATTATATTTATTGTTATTTGACAGATGTTCATTTAGTAGGGAACTTTGGATGAATGAAATGTCATTGCTGATCGTCTTCTTCATGAGCATTAATATTTGTATGATAAGAATGTTTCTTGTATATTTATATGATCCAAAAGTGTTGTTTCTTAGTCATTTATTATACCACCTGCTTTTACTTTGTGTGCTCTGCTTGGATCAATTCATGGAGGGATTATTCTGTACGGACGCCCAATGCAGTTTACAGTCTGAAGATCAATCAGAATACGCCACGCTACCTCAGCGGTATCAATCTGGATATCGAGCAGGGGGTCACGTGGCGCATTCTGGTTGGTCTTCGGACGATGTTTGGCATCCGCACATAATAATTTCATCAATTTATGAGACCTTATTTCGTTAGAAGTCTTTCTCTTTTCTAATGATCCATATTTTCTTTTATGTTGTTTGTATCTATCAATATCTCTTGTATTGGTTCAGAGGACAGTTCAGTTCTAATAATAATGATACAAAGCTGGACTGAAGCAGCAGTTATGTTTTATTTGAGATAGTTTTCTTATTATTTTTTTAAATAAAATTTTAATAAATTTTTTTAATTCAAGAATTTTTTATATAAATAGATTGAGGGAAATAAATAATTTAAAGGATCATATAATAAATCTTTTTTTTATTATTATTATTTTTAGATTATGTTCCTTTGAAAGGAGAGTATGAGAGTGTAAGGCTTCTCTTTAATTAAGTAGGGATTTGTGAGAGAAATTTACTTTAATTTGTTATTATTTTTGCCTATGAAAGATAGTATGAGGGGTTGAACTTTTTAATATAGGAGGGTGGGAGGTTTGATAATATTTGCTTGAGTTACAGTATGCAAGGCTTCTTGCCATTAAGAAAAGATTTGCGGTGAAAAGTCCAAAGTGGTGAGAAACTTACTCCAAGGAAGTAGGTTAGCTATAGGGTGAACATAGCCTTTGTTTAAAATTTTTGTACTAAAATTCTATTTTAAGAAATAATAAAAAAGTCGTCCCAAATAAAGCCTGACTATATGAGCTATAATTGAGCGAAGTCATAAGTAACTTCTCGAGTGCTTAGTTCTTTTGTAGCTTTATTCTTAATCACTTTCTAACGTAGCATAATCTTTATTTGGACTATATTTTGATGCTACATAAGCTTATATGAATATTTGATGATTGATATTTAGCCTAATAGTTATTATTCACTCACATAGCTTAACTCTTTAACATGGACCATAGAATATATTACATTATGGTTTATATAATTACTTTGTGCATTTGATTATTACATTTCTACTTTCCATTGTGTGTTTCATTGTTAACTAAATTTATTATGCATTGGAAGAGACTAAAAACTAAGTAGATTGGCTTCGACTTTGATAGCGGCAATGGTCATCAAATCGGTGTCAACGTCACAGTGTGTTATTGTCAATAACATGCATTAGTGTTCATGTCAACACCAAATATTAGCCTTTGTGGCAATGACAAGCATATATATTGTTGGCAATGATGTGTGTAAATGAAGGGCATTTGTAAAGGCAATTGCGATTGATGGGCACCAATCTTGATGTCAATGACGAGTGTCGGCATCATTGGCGATGACAGTCATTTACCTTATTAGTGACTTAACACATCTAGCTTGTTAGTGATGACAACCATCTTCATTAGTGCCAATGAGAGATGCAAGCTATAGTAGCATCGACGGGCATCAACATTGGTGTTGATGATGAGGGTTTGCTTTGTTGGTTACTGAAGACATATACTTTTTTGTTGATAGTGGATATTGGCCTTATTGGCAATATTGGCATCATTGTCAATAATGCATGTAGATGTATTGGTGTTGATAACAATCGTCGACTTTATTGATGACAACTGACAACAATATTGATGTCGATGGTGGGGGTGCATTGACAAAGAGCTCCATATTTTCTCCTTTGACATCCTTTTTGTGGCATCAACCCAACCTCCTTAAAATATGTATAAGTTGAGTTAATAATAATAATAATACTCCATAGTATTATGGGTGTCAATATTTGACATGACCCAAAAATCTGATCAGAACCGACCAAAAAATTTCAGGTTCGGGTTAAGGATTTCGACTCGTTTGTAAAACCAGGTCGGGTTTGGGTTGACCCGAAAATCCGAAATCAACCCGATTTGACCCGTTTTTATTTGATTTAGGAGAGTTTTAAAATATTATTATGAAATAAGTAAATGCTATTTCTAAAAAATAATAAACCATGTAGCCCAAATTGAATTAAGCTTAGTTTATTTTAAATTGATTGAAGTAAATCTTACATTAATTCGATTTAAGTTTAAATAAATAGAATTAAATAAAAAAATTAGTAAAATATATCCGAAGATGGTTGGGTTCGGGTTGACCTGGATCCGAAGTGGGTCGAATTCGGGTCCGGAAAATAGACTCGTTTGCAAAAACGGGTCTATTTCGGGTCAGGTCGAACAGTGTCAGGTCAATTTTAGATTGAACCCGAACCCAACTTGTGACCCGATTTTGACAGCCTTACATAATAATATAATATGATCCAAGTTGCTCTACATTGATAATATAATAATTTTCACTCTTTCAGGTGTTTTAATATTGTAAAAAATGCATCATCTTAATATCACTAGATTCATTTTATCGAGATGCAAATTTCAAATATGAATTTTTCTGAAAACATAATTTTGATAATTCAAATTCAATTCTTGAAGTAATATCCATGCATGCCTGATTTTCTTGTGATGTATTATACAATTAATGTTATTATGAACCCTAAATTTTAAAAGAGATTCAAGTGCTCTCAATTCTCAATTCATATCCAAAAAAGCTTATCAACAATCTCAACGCATTGCCGTTCTCAAATCAGTTAAAACCAACCAAAATTAAATCAATTTTTAACCTAAATCAAGCGCAAATCAAAATTACATCCTTCAATTGCAAGGCTTAACTTCTTTTGGGACAATTTTAGATCACTAATTTTTTAACTTTCAATAAATTTTTATGATAAAAAATAACTTAAAAAAGCAATAAGAAAGTCATTCCAAACAAAACCCTAAACTAAAAATTAAATCGCTCCATCTCCACTAATCACTAATCATTCATTAACAACTCCATTGTCGGTGACAACAAAATCAAATTGGTTGACCAAACCGCTCCATCTTCCCGTTGAAAGTAGTTAGTCAGACGACCAGAAATCTTTAAAAAAAGTAAAAAAAAGTTCCACCTTTTTAATCTCATTCAAATATGAACATAGTGGATCAGATCAGTTATAACTTATAATTAGGGTTTCTTCCACAGAGAGGAAGTGGGAGGCAGTTAGGAAAACAATTGCGTCGGTTTTAAGGCGGGCCTGCGAGCAGAATTCAGGAAAGGAGGGGAAAATTTGAGAAGTGGAAGATATGTAGAAGCTGAAAAAGATACAGAAAATTACGAAGGAAATGGAGACGAGGCTTTTCTTTCTCTTCTTCTTCTTCTCGCTCTTCCTCTCTTATAGCCTCGGCGCGCTGGCCGGTGGAAGACGGAATCCGGCGAACCCTAAAGCCAATATCTTCAACGTTAGGAAGTTCGGCGCCCGCGGAAATGGACGGACTGACGATAGCAAGGTTCGATCGCCGCCATTATATATTTTGCTTTAAATTATAACTTTTACACCATCTAAGTTCTAAACATTTAGTATAAAGCTAATGGCAATCAATTGTACATCTCAAAACATGAATTTTGAAGCTAATTTTGCAGCTATGAGCTCAATTTCCAACTCATGACTACTGCCGCCTCTCATTCTTGCTTTTTTTTTTTCATTTCCTTGATAGGCCTCTCTCTCTCTCTCTCTCTCTCTCTCTCTCTCTCTCATTCTCATTTAATGCATGAACATGCCATGTTCATGAATGATACATCATCACATCATCATCATCTCTCTCTTTCTCTCTCTAATATGTGTTGAATGAATAAATGAAGGCATTCATGAAAGTCTCTCTCTCTCTCATTCTCATCTAATGCATCTAATGCATGAACATGTCACATGTTCATGCATGATACATCATCATCATCATCATAATCTCTCTGTTTCTATCTCTAATATGTGTTGAATGAATACATGAAGGCATTCATGAAAGCATGGAAGGTTGCTTGCGCATCCACAGGTGCAGTCAAGCTCGAGATACCCACTGGAACTTATTTCGTCGGGCCTCTAAGGTTCAACGGGCCTTGCATAAATGTCAGCTCCCTTACAGTCCAAATGCAGGCAAGCTCACGTTCATCCCATAATTTCTCTCCACAGTATTTTAAATCTGGGTCTTATGGGTTGGGTCGGGCTTCACACCCGGCCCGTTTGATCCCCCAGGCCACCTTGACGGCAACAACAGACCTGAGCAAGTTCAAAAGTCCTCATTGGGTCGAGTTTGGGTGGGTCGACGGGCTAATTCTGACCGGCGGTATCTTTGATGGCCAAGGAGCAGTTTCTTGGCCTTTCAACAAATGCCCCACACAAATGGATTGCAAAGTTCTTCCTACAGTAAGTCTTTTTACATATTAGGACTGCATTCAATGGGTTTGAACTCTTTACTGCTCACACTAAGGCTTCTTTTGGGACGTTTTTTTATTGCTTCTTAAAGCCGTCTCAAACGAACCCTAAAAGTTTTATGAAAATTTAATCTTGAAAATGAATTTATTCAGAATATTTTGTTCGTGAACACGACAAATACAGTTGCGACGGGCATAACATCAATCAACAGTAAATTCTTCCACATTGGCATTTTGAGCTGCACGAATTTTAAAGGGACCAACTTTAAGATTAGGGCACCGAAAAATAGCCCTAACACTGACGGAATCCACTTGGAGCGCAACTCGGGTGTGACTTTGTCACATTTGACTATAGGAACTGGCGATGACTGTGTCTCTATTGGTCAGGGAAACTCCGATGTTACCCTACGCAACATCAAATGTGGTCCGGGTCATGGGATCAGGTATACATCAAGTCAATATTAATTCTTTGAAAAAAAAAACAGAATATTGTAATTAAAATTTTGTTAAAAATAAGTTTCAAAATAATATATTATAATTATTAATTAATTATACAAATAATACATTCATCACAACACACAAAATTTTAAAATTTATCCTAACTTTAGCTCATCATATTATAACCGCAATTACCCACAATAAGGGGTATAAATGAGTCGAACTTGAGTTAACTCAAGTGTCGTCATGCTCAGCTGTCTTGTCATTCATATAATATATATACACGCATAAATAACCAAGCCAATATCAAGTCGAACATGATAAAAAAATACATTTTTTTTGTGTTTGACTCGCTAAATACAAAATTAGCTAAATTTTGAGCTAAAACTTTTTTTTTTTTTTGAACATTTAGGACGTTTAAGGTAAACACACACGTCACATACAGAAGACTTAAATTCAAAACCTTTTAATTAATAACCAAAACATCCAACCAACAGATCAAGATGAGCTGCATAGCTAAAACAAATTGAACAGAAATAGTTAACGAGCTTTTATTTACAACTCAACTTGTAATAATTGTAATATTTATATAGTAATTTTGTTTGTTGATTTTGATTTATTTAATTTTTTTGATTTTAGTGTTGGGAGCCTAGGGAGATACAAGGGTGAAGGTGATGTTACAGGCCTATTAGTTAAAAACTGCACCATTACTGGCACAACAAATGGGCTAAGAATAAAGACATGGCAAAATTCACCGAGCCCAAGCATCGCAACCAACTTGACATTTGACAATATTATCATGAACAACGTGGATAGGCCTATTGTCATAGATCAAGAGTACTGCCCCTATGCCAAATGTGATTCTTCTGTAAGAGTTCTCTTCTTTGAACTTAGATTTTCTTATTTATGCATGCTAAAGCTTCATTTGATACGGCTTTTTAAAAAAAGCTTTTTAGTACAAAAATTTTGATTTTTGTACTAGAAAGTAGATTTAAGAGGCAATAAGAAAGCTGTCCTAAGCAAAGCCTAAATTACATTTAGGCTTTATTTGGGGCGGTTTTCTTACTGCGTCTTAAAACAATTTTGTAGTAAAAAAAATTTAATTTTTATAATAAAAAAATATTTTAAGAAACAGTAAGAAAGCTGTCACAAATGAGGCCTTAGACTTTTGCTTCATTTGGGAGAATTTACTAATTTTTAAAGCAGTTTTTTTAGTACAAAAAAGAATTTTTTATACTAAAAAATCATTTTATAAGCCATAAGAAAATGATCCATAAGCTTCATTTGGAATAACTTTCTAATTATTTTCTAAAATAATTTTTAATATAAAAAATTTTTGAACTAAAAGTTTTTATACTAAAAATATCCCAAATGAAGCCTCACAATCATGAAAAAAAAAATTGCATCCTAACATTCTAATAAAAAAGCAATTATTTGTGTTACAATTATCTTTAGTACTTTTGAGATCAATTCTAATAAATAAATTGATCATAATATCTTGATATGATTTTTTTGGGGGGATTTACATACACATCACTTTATTTCATGTTAATACTTAAAATTTTAATATTACATTTCTACCGCTCATATAAAATATATCACTAATATATTTCATTCTTACCATCCATACCACGCTAAAAACTTTAAAATTTCATTCCATAAAACCATATTTATTATATGAGTGGTAGGTATATAATATTAAAATTTTAGATATTAGATACGTAAATAGCATGAAATAAAGTGGTAGATATGTAAATCTCAATTTTTTTTTGCATAATTATTGGTCATAATATCTTCATTCATAGCTAACATACATTATATGATCAAATTCAAATTTTATTTATTTACTTTATGTTTGGTCATTTGTGGATGAAAATGAAGGCTCCATCTCGAGTGAAGATAAGCGGCATAAAATTTAAGAACATAAGGGGCACATCAATGAATCCAGAGGCAGTGACTCTGCTCTGCAGTCAAAGAATGCCGTGCAAGGATGTGAGTCTACAAGATGTGAGTCTAAGGTATGTGGGTGGAGGGGGTGGGGCCACAGCCATCCTTAATTCCACGTGTCAAAATGTAAAGCCAACATTCAGTGGGACCCAAGATCCCCCACCTTGTCAGTAGAATGGGTTGAAACTTGAGAGCTTGAAGACACCCTTTTTTTTATTTTTTTATTTTTATGAAGTCACCCTATTTAATTGTACACAGTGAGTGTATGCGTATGAAGATTAATAGAATTATTATTTTTTTCTATTTTTTGTTTTCTTTGATACTAGCCAATTCAGAATTAACTCAATTTAAAGAAGAATTTGACTCTTAAATGATATATTAGAAAAAAATTTCATATATCCAATCACGTAGTGGGATAAAGACTACAACTTTGTTTTGGAATGATTTTTTTCTTACTTCTTAAAATAATTGTTTAATAAAAAATTAATTTTTTTTTTTGGAAAACTGTTTTAAAAATAATAAAAAAAATCATCCCAAACAAAACCTTCATTTGAGATAGCTTTTAATTACTTATTAAATCAAATTTTTAGTTAAAATGTTTAATTTTTATACTAAAAATTTGCTTTAAAAAGCAATAAAAAATTATCTCAAACGAAATGAAAGACTTGATATTATTGTTGTTGCTTGTTATTTTTTTGCAGAAGCTTATTCTTAAAGAGATAAAAATGAGCTTTGTAAATTCGATAGATTGATTGTCTAAAGTTCAAATTTATTTTAAAAGAAATTAATGAATTTTGCTTTAAGTTAACAGTAATGGAGTTGATACTTTATTTAACATTTAAAACTTATTTCGACCAAATTTTTATTATTTTAAAATTTCAATTAAATAATTTTAATTTAAAAATAGCTCCCTCAAAATTAATTCAATTAAACTTAAAATTAGATCTATTTACATAAAATTACACATTTATGTTATATATATAAATGATATGAATTTTATTCAGGAATTCACAAGTCTTTTTTTTTTTAAATTAATCCTAATGGAAGGGATGAAATAAGACATGAGGAATCAATTATCAGAGTTATTATTTTAGAAATATCACTATATTAATGTTATTATCGATAGTATCACGGGTTTAATATTTAAAATAAAAAATACTTATTATCATAATATATCATGATTACTGAGAATAATTTTCTTTCTTATATTTTTATTATTTTTTCCCTTATATAATATATATGTATGGACATTTGTAACCCATATATCCTACCGGAACAACCATCGGAAAGAAATTCAATAGCAAACATGAATTTCATGGATTCAAAATCTTCATGATCGTGCAATGCAATTTCATGAGGGTGTTGTGGAAGGGAGAGATTATTTTGTGCGGAGTTTGAACGCGTCTGGAGACTAATCTGTATGCGCCACATCACCCAATGCACTATGTATTGAGTGACATGGTACATCCGGACCCTGCACGTAATAATTTTTGTATGGAAGGATAGGCATATGAGAGTTGAGTAGGAAGAAGAGGCTCCGAGAGGAGAAGCCGATGAAAGAGGAGGAAGCAGCTTTGGAAGGAAAGGATGCTTTGGAGGCTGAAGAAGAAGAAGACGTAGCGAACAAGGATGAAAGTATTAGATTTAGATAAGATGTTGGAACGAGAAGATGATGAGCATGATCTTATAGACATGGTTAGCTACATGAGTAAAAATATAACATTTCACATGAATAAATTTTTTTTTTCTATTATGTCATGTTAAGAGTCAAATTCTCATTTAAATCTAATAAAAATGTCAATTCTAATACTTTCTAACCAAGATTTTCTAAGTCTACCTCTACTTTTTTTAACATAGATCAAATATAATACATTTACTCACTTAACTGAGTCATCGGTTAGATTATTGCAACAACATGGAACAAGTTGAAAGAGAGCAAATTTCAATTCGAATGCTTATTAATCACAAATTATGCATAATAGTGACACTTACAAGGCAAAATGAACTATCAAGATTGGAAAGGTCGAACGCAGCATGTGGCATTATATAAAAAAAGCTGCAAGGACAATAATTGTTAGTCAGCATGAAGGGAAATAAGAAAGCAAAGAATGAATTGTATTATGATATAGAGATCCTCGCAAAAGAAACCTAGCAAAAATATGAATGATGTCCTTGCACCATTCAGCAAGGCAATTGCCAAGTTTAATTGGGATTTACATGTCTGCTTGAGGAAGAAGCCACATTCAACTAATAAATGAGGCTCCTACTTTGGCACAGCGATTGAACAGAGACAGCAGATAGTTCCACTAAAGGTTACCTGTGAGCTGCAGTTAACATCAACACAGTACATAATGTTTAGAAGGTTTATGAAGTGACTGATACATAATTATCATCGTTACAATTAGCCTTATCCCAGCTATTTGGGGCTGATTATATGAATCCTATTTTTTTTTTTTTTTATTGAGTGTTGTTTAAATGAGGATATACGTGAAAAGGTTGGAGTAGCTCCAGTAGAAGATAAGATAAGAGAGAGTCGCCTTAGATGGTTTGGTCACATAAAACGGCTGCCTTCCGATGACCCGGTTAGGAGAGTAGAGATATTAGATTTGACTTATGTTAAGAAAGGTAGAGGCAGACCGAAAAAGACTTTGGTTAGAAAATATTATGAATGACATTTCTTTATTAGATTTAAACGAGAATTTGACTTTTAATAGAACACAATGAAAAAGAAGGATTCATGTAGCCAATCCCACGTAGTGGGATAAAGGCTTGATGTTATTGTTGTAGTGTTGATTGAAATATTAAATCTACCCACCGTTGTTTAGCTTGGTTGGTGGGCGAGTACGGTTGGGAACCCCCCTACCTGTGATCAAATCCCCTCGGACGACAGCTCCTCTTAAGTGGGACCCAATCAAGTGTGGGCCATGAGGTTTTTGGAGTGTGTGTGATAAGAAATACTAGATTTCAAGTAATTCCTAGCCAAATCGGGAGCGAAACAGCAGAAAATCTGCTGTTTATAGAAGTGGACAACAGGTTATCACAGGAAAACAACAGAAATTATAGAGAAAATGGAGAGAACTCAAGCGAAGGCTTGTATTTCACTGGTAGACAATTAAAATAGCAAGATACAATTTATTCTTCAATCCGAGAGGAAGAACAACTCTCCAATATCCGGCAATGCCAAGAGCCCAATGCAAGAAAACCCTAGATCTCAAAAATACATTCAAATTCAAGATGAGAGCCAATTCTCACAATAACTCCTAAATAAAGACAACGGACAATTACAAAATACCTAAAACAGCCCCTCATTCAAAAATTTCCCTCCCAAAATCGCATTAACCCCAAGTGGGGCCCATAGGGGGTTCCGCCCCCCTTGCCGTTTCCGCCCAACCGTGGACCGGTCCAGCCGGCCCCTCCTGGGCCGGCCTAACAGGGTGCCTCTTCTAGATCAGTCGAGGATTAGTCATGCCTCCAAGCGCCCTTCCGAATGTGGCAGCAAGTGGATACCCCGTTAAAAAAAAAAAAAAAAAAATCTATTTTAAATAACATATATTAATATTATTTATAATCCTCAAATGCAGATTTTAATTACTTGTATATTAGTTGAATTTTCCATCATTCGTTCTACACGTTCAAATCACTAAAATATATTAAATAATTCTATCTTCAACAGACACTATAGTTATTTTTTAAATATAATTTTTTTAATTTATTCTTCTAAATTTTACCACATTTATATCAACAGTCTCATTTTCATCATATTCAAGTTATCCATCAATGAATTTTTTTACAGCCCAACTTAAAGATGGTTAAATGACAGGCTCTAGTGACGGAACTCAACTAGATATTTGTCAACGGGTAAGATTTTAACTTCTCTGTATTTTGGTCGATTTTGAACTTAGAACAATATACGATTGTACATGACTGGTTAAGCGATTCTAGTGTGTGGTGGTGGAGTGATTAAGTAAAACCTACAATGACACACCACTTAGTGATTGAACAAAAGACGATGGCCTTCTGTGATGGAGAAACATTGACACAGTTCCATTTAAGCACGATAAATGGATATATAACTAATCAAGAACCAAAAGATATGTTGGTGTAACAAAAAACAACGATACAAAAACTAACAAAGGCCAAAATTATTGCCCTAGAGTCTATTTATGTTGTCAGTTGCGTGGCTAAAATGAACATGTTCCTTGAGAGAATTAAAAAGTAAATTTAATATTAGCTCCAATTAGGCTATATGTTAGATAGTAAAAAGTCTTTAATATTAAAGTTGAGCATGGTAGCAATGAGAATGATGGTAGAAGCATCTACTAGAAGATAAGATAGTGGGAAAGTAAATTTGGCAGTTTGAACATTTACAATGAAAGGTAAAAAAATACAACCAATCTATAAAATTAGTGGGATTAAGGAAAAAAAAGTGAAAACACCTGTGGGCTTTGAAAATTCGTGCCCCAGCCTCTCTACGAACCCTTATCTTTTTTGGGTCATCGAGGAGAGTTTTAACGCTTAAGTTCCAAGGCAAATTTTCAAAAGGCATATAGGGTTTTGAATAAAACATTATCTAGAGATTTCGCCCTTATTTTGCGAGGACTTTATGATTTGAGTTCAGGTTTCCTATAGGCGCAGCCTCTATAGTAATTATCCCTCTTGATAATAAGAGATAACTTTCGATTAAGGCAAGTCGTCAAACAAATACGTAGTATCCAACATATAGTAGCAGCAGAGTTTAGGAATTTGGAAATTTGAAGCCGTTGGGGAACATACGGGCTCTAACCATGACCATAATTTAATGGTGACATTTGACGGCAAAACCACATGGTCAAAGGGGTCCCGGTCATAATCATTTACCTATGGTGTCATTTGATGGTGAAACCAACGGTTAGAAGACACGCGCCACGTCCTTACTAGCGAGAGACAGATTGAGAACGAATCTTAGTGATATTTTTTATCAGATATTTGCTTTTTGTGCGCTGAAGTAACTGTTGTGGAAGATGAATGAGTATTTTTCTTTAAGTATTTTGGTAGTTGATTTCAATTTTAAACATTTATATCATATTATATATTTTTGAGAATTTGGGTACATTTTAAAGGATACTTGATCGATACAAGCACGAGATTTATGCATGAAACATGGGAGAGGATGCGAGGAGCGGTGCCGATGCCGAATAGTACGAGGTATGTAGGATTTGAGCGAGATTTGAGTAGAAATCAACAAATGTCCCCAATACATGTGGTACATGTCTAGAACGAAACACGTTTATTGTAATATGGTTGACCCTACAAATTTTCAAATATCTGTCTTGAATGTTCCACTAAGAACTTCCTTTTTGTGGATCTTCGAGGTTCTTGTCTTGGTGTCATGCTAATTTTTTGTTTTTATAGATTTTTAGATGTATCCATAAATAAATTGACATGTTGTCATTAGTCAAGTAGGGACCCACAGGATATTACACAGTACTTCATACTTAGGCCCTTGAGCATTACTTTATACACTAGTGCTAGTAGATGACACCATCAGCTTTTGCTCTTCTTTTGCCACCATGTTTACCTTGGTTTTAAGCATTTTCACATATGTTCATATTTATCATTATTGCAGTCATATATTGATATAACATTTCTGTTATACAATTGCAAGTTTCATTCAAAATTTGCTCGAGCTCTACAAATTCACCAGCTAGCATGACTTTGCTTTCTCAGGCTTTCTATAGCTGCCTTTAGCTCAGGTACGCATTGTTCTATTTTTCCAGTTGTTGGCTTTTGCTTTGCGTGTGTGCTGTCTCTTTTTGCATTTCAATGTTTCGTACCTTGTGCACGTCTCCTGAGGAATAGGATGCCAGCTAGCCAGGTACTGCAGGAGACTTCCACTCATGTACGCTTTTTGTTAGCTTACACGACTTTCTTTCCTTCATTGCAAATTCTAAAATTTGTTGCGACAACCTGTTGTCTCATTTCTAAAATATGCAAATGCCTTTTGTCCGCTTTTGTGAGTATTGCGAATCAGGTGGCGTGGTTTAGCAGAACGTTGTGTCTCAATTCATCTCCTTCAAGCCGTTATTTACTTCAATTCAGGAGCCTTCCATCTATTGCTTGCAGGTGAGCTGATTTATCTAGTGCGACAACCTACCATCACAAATTCACTGCCTCAATTTATTAGTAGCCCACAATTTTTACTACTGACTCTCTGCTTCTGCTTACAGATGAATTGTAGCGTAGCGCTATGAGCAATTTACTACGTTATGCAGGTAGACTATCATGCACTAACAAATATCCTACAGCGGTTCATAAATACTTGCATTTATCATGGTCTTGTTGCTTTTGTCTGCAGGAAGTGTGTCGCACTTGTTGCAATCTCCTCATTTATGCCTGTAGAGAACACATCGCACTTGCAGTACATCAACTATTACTGCTTGTAGGCAAGATCGTTATAAGTATTACAAGCCTTCTACCATTACCTGTAGGCAAGCTACTTTGCATGCAAATCTTCTAGTGCTGTAGTAGCTCGTAGGTGTTTGCATTACTGCAATTCTTCTATATTTGCTTGTAGATAAAAAGTCTCCTACAACGGTTCGTACGATCTCGTGAATATCACAAGTATGTTGTCCTCCGCTTATAGGCAGTGTGTCGCATGCATTGTAGTTCTCTTAACTATATTTGCAGTGAACCCATTACGTTCATAGTTTGTACGTTGTCGATCACAAACACTCACAAGTTCCTAGTAGTTGCTTGTAAGCGGGTTGTATCAATTGTCGTTGTCCTTAGAGAATTGTCATATTTGCCTGCAAGTGAATTAATATCGATTACAAGGATGTCGTGGCATTTGTCGCATGTCGATTGTTGCCATGCTCTATCATGTATATTGCATGTTCTTTTTTATCCTTGAAGGTGCTCTACAGCATGCATAATGAACTTGGTAATGTTGCTTAATTGATATTTGCATTCCAATTGGCATGATGACTTTCTACATTTATTAGAAACTTAATGCTATTAATTGTAAGCACGTTGTTATATTGGTGATTTGATCTTTGCTTGCGAGCAGGTTGTTGTGCTCATCAACTTCTTTTACCTACCGAAGGCTAATGTGTTTACTTGCATCATTGGTGCAAATGTCACTTGCTCTTGCTTGTAGATTGATTTAATTGAATACTTCCAAGTGATTTAAGTTCATTATTCCTCGTTTATGTGTTTTTGAGAGTTTGTTCACCATTTGCATTTTGTTTATTCATTGATATCCAGTTAAATAAATAGGATTATCATTCATCATTTGTATTTTCACCTTGCTCATGCATTTTGTCAATTTGAAGTTCGGTCCCTTGCTTATTAATTTGTCATGTTCCCGTCCAAGTCCTCTAGTTTGCTCTGATTTTAGGCAGCCTCCCAGAGTCACCCCCGTTTAGGAAAATTTTTGGGAGCTTAGCCTTCACACTAACTACACTACGAAGAGCGTTTATGGTAGGTGTCGGGCAACACCGGGGCCGTGGTTTTCTTCAATCCCACCACACTATGAAGAGCGTGTATGGGTCTTCGAGGTACCTGCTTGAAAATATAATTTTTACCCGTATGTATGATGACACATACACTAGTAATTAAGGTTATCCCCGCCACGCTACAAAGAACCTCTACAGGGCCTACCCGCCTCACCGCAAGCATCGCACCTGGCTCCCTCCCACCACACTACAAAGAGCATGTATAAGTGGTCACCCGGCACATCGCGAGCGTCAAAAGTAGGATTTGGAGTTTTGAGTTTGAGGAGTCATTATACCTTTGCAAAGAGGTCGACGACGATGTGTCGGCACGACGATGATGATATGCACAAATATTCTTCTCTTCTGTTTTGAATTTATCTTTTTTTTTTGCTCTTTTTTCTTTTTTTTTTAATAGTAATATTAACATAAATGATAATAATATTATAAAAATAGTATTAGTTAATAATAAAATTTAAGTAATTAATAATGAATAATGATAAAAAAGGTTGTTGAGGCCTTAGGGGAAGCTAGGGCTGAAGAGGGGGACCGGGTATGGTGTTGGATCAAAAGTGCAGGTGTGCGGCTCTGACAAGAATGAACAGATGATGTTGGAGTTCGGTTTGAGGTTGGGTTTCGAGGAGCTTCGCCAGGGAGGGAGTTCTAGTTTAGTTTAAAGGAAGGAAGCGAGATTGAGCGGCTTCAGGGCTATATGGGAATCAGGAAGCTGAAGATGTCGGGCACTGCTGTTGCAGAAAATAAGAGTTTGATCAGGGTTGTTGTGGTCTACGGAGATGGGAGCGACAGTGAGGGGTCGTGATTGATTAGAGGTTGAGGTTGTTGGTGGGTGTGAGGTGGCTCACGTGAGGTAGAGGCGGAGGAGCTTCAATTGGGTTGGATTGGGAAGTGGAGATTGGGCCTATTGTGAGGTTCGACAGGGAGCAAAAGTCGGACGGAGGACTCTAGATGGAGTTTAGTCATGCTAGCTTCAGCTTGGAGGAAGAATCAGGCAGAAGAGGAGCGACTGGTGTTGGGATTTGAGCCGGCCGGAGTGTCGAGTAGAAGAGGAGGGATCAAATGCTTACCGTGAGCCTTACAGCTAGAATAGACTGGAGCAAAGAGGGCCTAGGGTCGATTTGCGAATAGGAGGTGCGAATGGGAGGGAGAGCAGGGAGACGTCGTATGTGAGAGGAAGAAGCTGTGGGAGTGTAATCGAAACTGAGAGCTTCGATTGCTCTCGTTTTAATAACAAGTGACTGTTGGTTGATCGAGACAAGCACGGGATTTATGCAGAAAACATGGGAGAGGACGTGAGGAGCAGCGTTGGCGCCGAATAGTACGAGGTATGTAGAATTTGAGCGGGATTTGAGCAAGGTTTCAAGTAGAGGTCAACAACACCTAAAGTAATATGAATAGAAATATAAATGATTTGTCAAAAAAACTTTAACATACCATACAACACTCAACTGGAATAAATACAAAGGAAGACGTTGTAAAACCAATCGAAAATAATTGAGATAAGGTTATTGATAATGATGCTCATGTAATGTCACTTAAAAATGCTCTCCAACATAATACAAACTAGATTGATAGGTCAAACAATTTCGTTATGGTTTATGTGGTGTATGTTGACTTCATCAATAACTATTCCCCATATTACGTGAAGGATAAGCAATGCACGATTAATGACATAAAGTAGCACATTTGACTAACCTTCAAGAAGGAAACAAACTTCCAACAGAAAAATCCTTTTCATTTCTGGTATGCAGGGTTTCAGCACGAAGTGGAGGGGCACATACAGTAATAGGAAGAACCCAATCGCCCTTTTCTCTTTGTTCAACAAGCAGAGGATGCTCATACCTGCCGCTTAGAAAAATCCAAGTCAAAGCTAAAGCGCAAGTTTACAAGCTAACTCAATCTTAACAACAAGAAAACAAAGATAAAGGTTAAAGCAATGAATTAAAAATCCGATAAGAAACTTTGAAAATAGATTTTTCTGAATAAAGCAGTACCTGTTCAAGTTTACGTGCATTGGTGTGGTGAAAAATTCAAATCGTAGAGACCATTGAACGGAAATATATGGAGTGGAGAAGGACATGGGTCCATCTCGCGGGATTGAGAAAATAAAGCTTGTTTGCGCCAAATCAGCAACTACTTCATGGTGATCATTTTGTACCTTCTCACAAGAACAACATAGAAATTGATTTATCATAATTGTGAGTTCAAAGTACAGCTGTTAGGAGATCAACTCCAAAACAACAACAGCACTCAGCTTTTTATAACTGACTTGAAGTTCCAATATAAACCAATAGAAGATTTCAAGGTTACCACAATTTATAATAGTCATGCAGTATACTTTCCTTAGGGTTGAATGGGCTTAATAATAAATTTTAGATTTCCTAACACGTAATTTTAGGTTAACAAAGGCACTTCCTGTTGCGAATACTCCAAAACATTTCCAATTTACAAAGAACATGAAAATGTTGTTTTTTTAACCCAACATGATGCACGTGAAGAAGGCAAGCTAGAATGTGAATGCAAAACATTGCAAAAAATTATTAAATAATATGCAACTTTGATTTGAATAATTTTGATAGAAAAATGCTAAAAATGTCATATAGGATTTTCCATCTTGGAAAGTTAGTAAAGAGGATAATTGGTCATTATTATGTAACATATTTTTTAATTGAGAATATCCAAATATTAATTAGCTCGTTTTCTATTATTGGTAATCTATATATAGGTACCAATTATATGGAGAAATCAATCAACTTCTTTTCCCTCTAACATTATATCGGAGAAGGGTTCATCCCAACCCTAGCAACATGTCTACTCTCCTCTCTTTGCGGCAAATTTTGCTACTCCACCGCACACTCGACCCCATTCTACTCCGTCCATGCTTAATCTCTTACCATTTTCACACAACCCAAGTGTTGTTTGCATCTCCTTGCCTCAATTCACTCTTACTCTATTTCCAATCCCCGTCTCTAAGTGTGAGTGTGAAGTATGTATGGTAAACACCATAATGTCACTTTCACAGTATCAACATCATCTCATAGTAAGACTCCTGATTTATTGCTCATTCAAGCATCTAGGCTCCAAGTCCTATCTTATAACCCATTTGTTGTTTCAATACTTCATCTCTTTTATTCACGGCTAAACTAGAGCTACCCCAGTATACTAGTTAAGAGTGTTGGTCTGAAGTTACTGATGAATTCAAAAAATTCTATCAAAAAATAAAATGTTCGATTTTCAACTACATTTAAAGTTCTCCACTCTAATGAAGCCATGAAATATACACAATCCACTTTTCACTTCTATGTACTTTAGACCTGTCAACATTTGATCCGACCCGAAAACCCGATCTAAAACCGACCCGAAATTTTCGGGTTCGGGTCAACCCGATTAAAGAACTGGTCGGGTTAGGGTTTGGAATTTCGACCCATTTAGTTTTTCGGGTCGGGTCCGGGAGAACCCAAAAACCCGACACTAACCCGAAACGACCCGCGTTGTTTTATAAATTATAAGTATATAGCCGCGGGCGTCGAGCGGGCTGAAGATATTCATTGTCATTCAGTGGCTTGACTGGCTTCTGTCTAGGGTTTCTACTTTCTTTTCTTTCTTTCTCTCCGCCTCTCCGATGTTAGAGCTCTCGTCGAGTCCATAGTCGTCGGCACGACGGCGTCTGCGCTTACGTTTTAGTCTTTCAGACTTTCAATTCACACATTCCCTGATTTGTTTCACTGTTTGTATCTCGTTTCTATTACCATTTTTGATATTTTAGAAGATGAAGGTGTTGAGATTTTGCGTTCTTCATTTATTCTCTATTTCTCTGCTAGGGTGTTGAGATTTTTTGAAGTTGAAGTTGTTCTGTGATCTCTATTTCTCTGCTAGGGTTTATCTCGACTAGGGTTTTAATAGTTTGTATAATTAATGGTTATTTTTGTGTAAATATTGTTGGCTATGGTGTTTAATCAACATATTGATTTGTCTCTACTCTCTAGCTAGCCCAGTTTGAACTTTTGCAGATGCCAGAAGCATTGAGGCAGTTAGGGCATCATGTATTTTTGATTTTTTCCATTTTTGTTTTGGTTATTTACTGATTTGTTGGTTAGTGACTGGTTTGTTGGCTAGGTGTTTAACCAAAAAAAGCCATAATTTTTTTCATTTTGGCATTATGCTGCAGCTGGCCCTTTAAGATGTTCAAGTGTTATGTGAAAATATGTTTTACCGTTTTAGTTAACTTCGTATCAGAAATTTCCAAATTTGACATGCAAGAAATATTTAAATATTCACATTGTGATGTCTTCTAATATTTTTGATAGATGGAGAGCTATAATACTATTGTTGATAATGTTTGTATTAATGAAAATGAAAAAGTTACGCCATCTGAAAATACGGTAGAGCCATGTAACATTGAATGTAATGAGGGAGGTGAAGTTGCTAGGAAGTGTAGAAGAATGACTTTGGTTGTTTGGGGTTACTTTGAGATGTTGCAAAAGACAAAAAAATGGTAAGCAAAGGTGTAAATGCAAGAAATGTGACGTGACATATTTCTGTGATAGCAAAAATGGCACTGCGAATCTAAGACGGCACTTAAAAAATTGTAAAAAAAGAAATATGCGTGATATTGGACAACTCATTTTACAAACAAACTCTGAATCATCCATTTCTATGACTGATAGTAAGTTTGATCAGTCAGAATTTTGTGACCTGTTTATTGCATGTATCATTATGCATGACTTGCCCTTCCAGTGTGTTGAGTGGGTTGGAGTTCGAGCTCTTCTAACGTATCTTCGTCGGGACTTGCAGTTGTTTTTAAGAAATACCGCACGAAATGATTGTAGGAAATTATTTAGTAAAGAGAAGTGTAATATACATTCACAGTTAGCAAAATTGACAAGTAGGGTGTGCTTAACATCAGACCTTTGGACTTCTATAATACATATGAGTTTATTTGTTTCACAATGCATTTTATAGATAATGATTGGCATTTGCAAAAAAAGATTATCAGCTTTGGTTTCATGCCGCCTCCTCATGATGGCATTGCATTGCTTGAAAAGTTACAGTCTCTTGTTATGTAGTGAAAAATTGATACCAAACTTTTTATCATTACTTTGGATAATGCATCAGCAAACAATACCTCAGTTGAATATCTAAGAAATCATTTATTTTTACATGGTGCTTTGCTTTGTGATGGTGAGTTCTTTTATATTTGTTGTACCGCACATATTGTTAATCTAATAGTTCAAGATGGTCTGAAGGAGGTTGATGCTTCAGTAATTAAAATCCGATAGAGTATTAAGTAAGTAAAAGGCTCTCAAGCAATGAAGCAAAAGTTTCTTGATTGTATCTTGATTGTATCAAACATAGATGCCAAGATGGAAAGAGAGGTTCACGACAAGATGTTCCAACTAGATGGAACTCCACTTTTATCATGCTAGATAGTGCTATTTACTATCGACGAGCTTTTCAATATTTAGAATTGAGTGATTCAAATTATAGGAATTGCCCAACTAGTGTTGAGTGAGAGAAAGTTGAATCTATTTGGCAATTCTTGACTCCTTTATAGGAAATAACATATGTTATATCTGGATCAAAGTACCCAACATCTAATTTATACTTTCCTTGCATTTCTAATCCATCGTTGAAACATGAACTCTTAAGTGGACATGAATACATCAAAAGAATGGCAGCATAAATGATAGTCAAATTTGAGAAATATTGGTCTGGATTTTCTGTTATACTGGCTATAGCTATCATTTTAGATCCACGATACAAATTTGCTTTTGTTGAATGGTGCTATAGAAGACTACATGAAGGTGATTACCAACATGAACTAATAAAGGTTAGAGAAAAGTTATTCTCTTTATTTGAAGATTATAGTTCAGCAAGTAATGAATTAGCAGGACAACATACACGTGCATCCCGAAAGGTTGAAGTTGGAACATTAAGAAGTACATCTACAAATATAATTAAGTCACAATTTATTCAGGTATTACATTAAGAACTAGTATATCTTCATTAAAGCATCTTGTGTTGTTTTATAACATTTACATCTTCACAAACAGGATTTTAAGTCTTTTCATGCGGAAATTGGAATGCCTAGGAAATCAGAATTAGAAATATATTTGGGTGAGCCAAACCTAGATACGGAGATTGATTTAGATATCTTGCATTTCTGGAAAGACAACCAATATAGGTTTACTGCTATGTCTGCTATGGCTCGTGGCATTTTGTGCATTCTTATAAGTATAGTGGCATCATAAAGTGCTTTCAGTAATAGCGGTAGAATACTAGAACAATATTGAAGTTCACTTAAGCATGACATTGTTGAGGCACTTGTCTGTTCAAAGGATTGGTTGCATGCAGAACAGAATGCTTTATTCTTCAACCTTCTTCTATTTATGTTTTTGGCAAATTTATTGGATGAGCTCAAATTCCTTTTTTTTGTTGCAGTAGTTCATGACACAGAACTAGATGCAGTTACGGATGATATCCTTGATTTACATGTCACTTAAATTGATGGACTGAAAGTTAAGTTATTAGATGATTATAGTTTAACATTTTATTGATATCTGGTTAATTGTTAATCTGTTAGAAGTTAGAACTGTTGTAGTGGACGGTTAAACTGGTGGTGGATTGGTAGTTTTTGCTGTTTAACTGTGTTGGTCTGAAGTTATTGGTTGTTGCTTGTAAAATATGTTATGTATTTCAGTGAGTCGTGAACTTAAAGTCTTTTGGTTCTGTTGGTGGCTGTGGCTTGTGGGTTTGGTTACTGGGTTTGTGGTTTCCACTTGCCAGATCCTTTATTATTCATGTTTCAGCTGGTTGTGTTTTTCTCCTACTTGTCCCTGTTTTGATTTCTTGTGGATTATGTTCTATTGGGATTAATGATGCCAGGTTGACTGTTTTAATTGATGTTTTGGCTTATCATAGGAGGTGAACAAGTGTGGTAAACATTTTGGCTTTTTGCATTTCTATCATTCTATGGATTATACTGCTGTGGTTCATATGATTTCTCGGGCCTGAGGCTTTGTGTGGGTTGCCCGTTGCTGCTTCTTGTATATTCTATTTACTTCAGTGAAGTTGTTAGCTGCTTCTTATATATTCTGTAAACTCTTTTTTGTATTTCGGTTATGTTGCTATTGTTAGCCTATTATGTTGCTGGCTACTGCTTTCTGTTTTTTGAAGTTGAAATGCAAGGAAGTGAAATGAGAAATTTATAAGTTGGGAGTCGTCGTATAAGTTATGAAGCGATGATTATTAACCTTCTAAGATGAAAGTGGGCACTGGAAGTCGTATAAGTGTAAGTTCTTATGTACTATTACAATTTACAACCAAGTGACATTAACTTAGAATAACATATACTATCTTACATTCTTATTCAAAGAACAGATATTAAGTTAATATAAATTGTCATCTTGGATGAAAATTTGTCAATATTGATTAAACTTACATCATACATCACAATGACCTCATTATGAGATTAATAATTTTGAGGGTTTAATCTGAACAGAGCAGTATATTATTATTACATATTAAAGTTTGCAACCTATATAACTGATTTTATTGTAGGCCATTGCAGATTTGAAGCCTTTATTTCGAGGAGCATTTCAATATTTCTCTTACAGTCGTACTCATCAGTCATCATAATATAAAATATAAATGTAAAATTGTATAAATTATTATTCTGAATTGAGATTGAGGTTGTAAATTTGTAACTTCGTAAATTAGTATCTCTCAAATTGAATTGAGGTTGTAAATTTGTAACTAAAAGTCTGAAAGGATGAATTTATTACTTATTAGTAACTTGTAAGAAATTTGATAGATTTGTGATTTGCTCATATTTTGCTGTTTGAAAGGATGAATTTTTGCTATTTTGCTCACATAGTCATATTTTTCCCTTAAATTATAATTAAAATTATTGTACATACGGTTTAGTGGGTCGCGTTGACCCGAACCCGAAAAATGCCGGGTCAGTCACGGGTCAGACCCGAACCTGACCCGGAACCCAAAATTGACAACTCTAATGTACATCAATCACACTTCCTTTATACCTTAAAATAAAATTGGTGCGGTTAAATATAAGCACCAAACAACCCCCTACATAATCAATAAGGCATCCTCTTCAAATTTGAATGGGGCTATGTTTTTTTTTTTGCTTTTCTTTCTCCAAAAAAAAAAACCTATTTTCCCATTGACTCTTGATGTAAGCAATGCCCCCCCCCCCCCCCCCCCCCCCCCCCCCCCGTTTGTGTTTGGGCTGATTTGAGTTTGTTGGGGGGCGTACGACTACTGTCTTGGCGGCTGTTCGGTTCCTGCTGCTGCTCCATGGCTTTTCCGGTTCCCCTGGTCTTGGTTGTTCGGTACCTGCTACTGCCCCTTGGCTTTCCAGATTCCTGGCTGTTCGGATGGGCTTCTACCGTGCCTTTAATGCTGCCTTTTTCTTCCCCTTTTTGGCTAATTATTGGCTCCTTTTCCCCTATTCTGGTTGGCTGATTTGAGCGGCTATTTTGGGGTGGCTTTTGAGCTTCTTTCCTCTATTTAAATGTGATGTTTATGGCAGTTTTAGGAGAGTGTTAGGTGATAATTTTTGGAGAATGAAACCTGCGGATTTTCTCTAGCTTGCGAGCCAGCTTCCTTTCCCTTCTCTTGTATTTCGTCTTGGACTTCTAATCCCTTTCTTCTCTCCATAATATCCCTTCCATTGTATATTTCTTCTCAAACTACAAAAGGTTGTAAGGTGTTGTGTCCCTTTTATTTGAAATTGTAAGATGTTGTTATGTCATGTTTATTATAGGTTTGAAGCGGTGTGTTTTTATATTCTATCGGTGCTTGTTTAAGTTTGTAATGTCTATGGTAATGAAGTCAATTTTATTTTAAGGAAAGGAAGACGTATAGTTATTTGCAATCTTAGTTTCCCTATATTTTTGGTTGCATCAACTCTCATGTTTTTGGTTACTCTTATTTCATCCACTCTTTTCATTGAAAATGGAATATAACTTTCTAATTGCATTCTCAAAATGTACCTCTAAAGTTATTCTCAAATTTTAAAAAATAACAAGCATATAGAAAATTTTCAAGAACTTGTATCCCAGCTGACAAATTAATACTGAAGAGCAAGTACCTTTGTTATTGTAGGAGCATTCTTCCTCGAAGGATGAACACATTGTTGATTGATAACTTCTAACATCTCCAATGTAATTGATACCTGAGAAATATTGTGGAAGCGTGTGAAACATATCTATCACTCTTACGAAATAAACAAACTTCATCATTATTCTTTTTTCAGAACATGAAAACTATAACTAGTACCTCAAGGCATCTCCTGGGTCCTTCTCCATGAAAGAAGGTGAGAGTACCACCAATCTGTATCAGGATGTTGAAACTAGTACTGCTGAATCTCATTGGCAAAGAATGTGAAAAAAACCTTATGGAAATCATCGAATGATTAAGCATACCATATCACCAAAATAATAAGTTGAGTCAGAGTTTTTTGGTGAAAATCGGAGCAAGACTTGGTCATCTATCCTTATGTTGTAGGATCTTCCACGAATAAAGCCTTCTGCTGCAGAAAATTCTTGCTAGAAATTAGCTATCTTCTTCAATTATTAAAGACCACAAACAAGAAAACAAATTTAAGCAGCTTTGGAAACTCAAAAAAAATTTAATGCATCTAAAGTTGCCCTATAGAGTATGCAAATTTATCATCATTTATGTAGAAAAGATACGTATAAGTCAACTTATTAAAAACCACGGAAATAAGAGAATGTAAACTTACATGACAGTGGTTCAGCAGATCGCATGGCATATGTTGATGCCATATCATCCCTAGAGTCGAAAGATCTTGAAAGTTTCTTTTGATAAGGGTACAAAGAAGAAGAACGATCAAGTTCCTTTTGAGGAAAAACTACACCTGGCATAAGGGGAAGAAAAAATGATAAAAATAAACCTGAATCAGTAAAATAAATAACAAGGCTGCTTTACCACCACATCTAATGATGGTCATCTAAATTAAGTGCACAATTTCTATATTATTGTCATCTAATTAACAGCAAGTTAGATGGTAGACTATGGGAATTATTCTGAATAAGCTTCATGAAAATAAAATTATTATGGATTACTAATCGGCAGAATGTGCTAACTTTTTTTGCATGCCACAATATACTACTACCAAAACAGGCTTGGCATTCAACAAAATTTGAAACTTCAGCCTTCTTTTTAAGAAGATAATCAGATCCCTTCATTTTGGAGTATAATTTTAATATGTATTCTTTTTTTTTTTAATTTTACAAACATCAATCATCTAACTTTTTAACTAATTTACAATTTAACTTCTGAATAATTTCCAATTTATAATTATATTTACCTCATTTTATTAAAAAGAGATTCATTGATTCATATATAATCACTAGGTAGCCACATGCCTTCACATTTTCATCATTTTTTAAGTAATTTGAAGAAAACACATGATAAGAATTTATACCCTTCAATATTATTTAGCATAGCTCTTTAATAAAGATTTTTATAAATGCTAAGATGCATAAAAGCTTTATTTTATTTTTTATAACTTACAATTTAAATACTTTTTTCTCATATAACAGGATAATTTAAGAAGGCAAAACTGCTAAAAAAATAGGATTCTTAACTAAATTTATCAATTTAATATATATAAAAAAATAGTATATGACATCAAAACATGTTGCATGGATAAAAAGTATATTATGAACTTTAAGTTACAAGCACTTTGTCTATGTGTATTCTTACAAGTACTTCAGAAAAGCAAGAAAACAACATACTTTCATCAGAATTATCAACGACCTCTGCTACAGAGAGCTTAGAAAGAGGTATGTATGACAAGTGAGAGGAGCGCTCTCCCTGGGCATATTGGTATTCAGTACTGGAGAACCTTGCCGAGATTGACTGAGAGGATGAGGACTTTTTGACTGCCAAGTCAATATTTCCTCTGGCAGGAGTATAAGACGAAACAGATGACACCTCATCCCTTGAACTGTCATATCCTTCTTCATATACATCTAAAAAATCGTTTGCTTGAACCTGCCAGGTGAACAAATGACTATGCTTATAAAAAACTCATCCAATTTGATGCATAGCTACTGAGTCAAAAGGGTTTCAATTATATACTGTCTGGTTGGCAGCAATGATAGTATTATAAAGCTCAGAATCACTGGTAATTCAGTTCATAATTCCTTTTTGAAGAGAAATTAAACTCTCAAAATATTATACAGTGCTCAGAACAGTGAAAGAGTGAGACATCAACACCAGGGTCTGCTGCTTTCCGATCACTCGAGATAATCTCTATGGCACAAGTATAATTTAAAACCACCAAGTCCTTAAATTCCTAGCTTGCTTGTTGGACAGCCTTATTGGGATAAGAATCACTAGTTTTTTTTTTTCCAGCATAATAACGAGAACTTTTCATCATTACAGGAAAAGTCGCACTTGTCAAACAGATAGAGCAACCTTCTTCGTTATAAGTATCATTAACTTTTTGAAGAGACAGTGTTATAAGTACTTCAACTATTTAAAATTTATTACAGTTGAGTGTTGTAAGTGGTATTAATTCTAGTTTTGACAAGCTCTTATGCATAACATCAAGTCAAATAACTTTAACCTAACCCTCGTTAACTCTTTAACATCAACTTTATCATCCCTTATTATTGTTGAATAATCTACCTTCATTTATACATGCCCAAATTATCAAAGCCTATTTTCTTAAACATATATACTACTCTCACATACCTTCACACAAAATTATTTTGCATACCATATTACCTGTTTTCACCGCACAACCCATGATAGCATTCTCTTTTCTAAAGCATTCAATCAGGATGTTTTTGGGTTTTAAGTTGTACACACTTAGAATAAAAGGGCAAGTGCACTCCCCTAAAAAAAAGGAAAAAAAAAATTGTACAAACTTGGAATCATATAACATGTCTGGACTTAATTTCCATTTTAGCAGTCTTCCTCGGATTCTACTGTGCAAATAGTGTCCTAGGAGCGCTTCCTCAATTTTAATCATCCTATTTTGACACTATAAATAATATCAATATTCTGCTACATAACAAAATCTGATACAAGAATCTGTTAAGCATAGGTACCCCTTGACCTCCTACTCTCATATCAATATTAATTCATCTTAATTTAAATAAAAAATCATGAAATCGATTTTTATGATGCAATTTTAACTCATCTTCAAGGCTTTGCTTTATTATCTTAACTTTATGTTTTCATTCTATAAGAACAAACATTAAAGTATTTCATTTCTAATGCATATTTTAGGCACATCCATGATCAACATAAAGAAATATAGAGTTGATGGTCATCTTTGGCAATCCTACCACGACCAAGAAATCATTGATCATTTTCCAAATATGCCCAATACTTGTGATTATGAAATCATACGTTCTTAATGATTTCAACAAATCTTTGACATATGTATCCTCTTTTAAATGTCCATTTAATCATTGATCCCTCAATAACATCAAAAGGCATTTTCTACATTGCTTTTACGCTTTTTTTATTAATGTTCTAAACACAAATAAAAAACAATTATAATTTATCTTCCTAGTGTAAACCAGATTAACTATGCTACAGTGACTTGAAATTCCTCAATCTAATTTGTTACTTGTTTTCATTGCAAATTGCGAACTATAAGCTTTGATCCCCTATGGTTCTCACTTCTCACAATTGTGAACATTTTTCTATTCATAAAAATTGATTTTAAATTGCCTCCTCCAATCATTTGACATTGTGGTAGTCTTAAGATTTTCTTAAAAAGATTCATTAATATTATCCGATGTTATAAATGACTCCGCAAATCTCAATTAAATATAGCCCTAAAATTTTCCTTTTTATGGATCTTCATCAAAGCTAATTCAACTTTCATTTGTTAGATTAACATATTCTACATAAATTCATTTATTTTTCTCCTTAACAAAATATTTTCCTTTTTTATCTCATGTTTTAATTTTCAGAATAACACTATCATCTTGCTTCAATTGCTAGAGCTCCAGAATTCGTTGCTACCTGCTACCTTCCTTGAATTTATTAAATATTCTAATAGTGTTTCCTTTTTCTTTCTTCAAGAGCGGTTCTTTCTAATAAAAATTTCCACCACCTATTTCTACTCTCCCGACGCCCCTTAACTTCTTGATGCAATTATCGATTACTTTTCATATTAAATTTTATTCAACCTAATCAGAATTGGCAACGGAAAAATATAATACATAAGCACCACCAAAAAAGAGGCTTACTGCCTTAAAAGTAGTATTGCATAAGCAAAAATAACATAAATTAAGATTTAGGCTATTATATTTAAAGCAATACAAGAATTCCTTATGATCCATTGCCCAAAGCATGAACAATGGCGTAAATGTCATGCTTCAGAAACAATGATAAATGCATCCCAATCATATAGCAATTATATTTTATTGAATAATGCAAGTAAATACCAAAGTTAGAGATAAGGACTCAGAAATTGGCATACCCAGGAGATCAGTAGTTAGTATTATACATGAATAGCTAAAAGAAAATGACTAAAGAAGACAAAAGAAGATATAAAAAGTAGGTTGAAATATGAGATTCTTATTTAAAATGACAAATAGGGAAATTGCTAAGATGTGTCTCATTTCTCAAAACATAAAGATGCCTATAAGTTGGTCATTACATGCACGATATTTCAAAATGAAATGTTACAAACTATAGGATATCCACAATCATATATTTGCAACATGCAACTCATTCTCAAACTTGCACAAAAATGTGTATAAATTCCTTCAAATCGATGAAAATAGGATTGCTCGAATGACAATAGATAGATAACTTCAAAATTTGACTAAAACACGCAAAATGTTCACAGTTCAGAGGGTAGAAACGATCCCAGAAAATTGAAATACAACTGAAAGAAAATAATCATGCACGAGGTATAAAATGCAAAATAAAAGTACTTTAAGGAGACTCAATTAATAAAATAATATTCTTATAATCCGTTTGATTTTTGCAGTTAATTATTTGATATCGACGAGCAAGAATGTTCAAATCATCATGCTCAAGAAAAAACAAGTGACTGGTTAGTGTTGCAGCAATTAAAAACATTTTAAAACAATGGAGCATGGAGAATTAAGAAAAAATTACTAGTATAACTTCTCAATTCCAAAAAGTTACCCAATCAGAATCTGCATCCTTCTCTTTCCAATATATATCCATTTGAATTGCATTAGAAAACAAAGCTCCTGCAGCACTATCAAACAAATTAAGCCATCTTTTTTCCGTAGCAGAATAGAAAGTTTGTAAATATAAATAAAAACATCACGCTGCGCCATAAAGGCCACATATCAGTATCTACCATCCCAATTATTAAAATCAAACTAAAGCATGATAACTACGAATGCTTACCAACACTATTGATACTCTTTAGTTCTTTATTATAATTCCAAGTCTTAAGGATAATCCTTTCATGTTCTTTGGAATCATTAGGGCTGCGTGATGTTATGGTAACAAGGTTCTGTTTAACCTTGACGCCATAAAATCTTCTTTGATTCTTTCTACTGCAAAGATGTCTATGCATGTCAAAGGAGCTACTAGACCATTCAAGCCTACGTGCCATATATATATATTCTTACCAACTAGGAAAATAATAATTTTAAAAAATAAAGCCTTGCAGTAATAACAGGCATCTTTTATATCATGATGGCAAGGTATTAACATTAATAAAATGAAAGGCGATATGTGATTAGGCTCAGATACTAAAAAGAACTAAGAATTAACCTTTGTCATTCAGCTCAACCAAAATGCCCCAAAGACCCCTATATCTTTCAACTTCAGATCTTCATATTCCCCAACTCATCAATCAACACATTTATCTGGTGGATGCTAGCAGCAGCTCAAACATTTATTAGCTCCTCTACTATTAAGTTATGAAGCCCAATTTTTTCCCCACAAAGAAAACGTGCCATACAGACTTAGCCCTAAAAGGAATATAATATTAACAGTTATTTCACTAAGGACATTTTGAATTTTTATTATGCTCCGGCTGTGCTAGGTTTTCTTTTAAAGGCCAGGGGTGTCATCTTATAATTGTACCTCAAAAATTAGGGTTGTAATTCTCCACAATCAATAGCAAAATATACAGCGACAACAATACGACAACAATACGACGTAGCCATTCATTCATAGAATGAATATGTATAAATTTTTTATCTGTTTTTGTGTGTGTTGATTTTCTTTTATATTTTATGTCGCTTTTAGATCTCTGTGTTTGAATAGATTTCGCCTATTGTCCAACATCTACTTCCTATTTGAAACTTCCTACACGCACACCCTTTGATCTTCCAAAAAAAAAAGAAAAACTAATCTTCGAGGTACAAACCTAGGGGCACATTAAAGTGGCATTTAATCAGGCGATAGTAAAACATTGGATAATCAGTGGAATGTAGTGCAGTGGCATAGCAACCATGCAATAACAAACTGAATAGGAATGCAAATTCCTCTCTAATATAGGCGAGTGATTGCCATGCCTCAAACTTTCCGTCTAACAAATACCACTCCCTTGGGTTTCAAGCAATGAAAGTGCGGAGAAAGAAGAGGGCAATGGAAATGCAAGGGAAGCAACAATGTCGAGAACAAGAGTAGCACATTTGTTTCCAAGAAATAAAGTGAAGCAAATACGATGAACAAGAAAAATGGAGAGGTAGACAAGCTGAGAGATAGAAAGTAGAATGACCACAAGTGCATTGAAAAATGCTAAAACAAAGTGGAATAGAGGTTCAAGAGATAACTGAGTATAACCACTCACTCTCCTAGTCGTTGTAGATTGTTTATCCATTTTACAGGCTAGCAGCCAGATTTCCTTATGAGTCACATTTAATGGGATAAAGAAAAGGTAGTAGCAGGTTTCTCACAACATTGTTATTGAAGTGAAGAAAGGGTACCAGGACTAATAGATGAAATCAGCATAGAAGGTGCGGCAAAAAGGAGAATTAAAGCATGGACGAATAATGGACCAATGGAGAAAGTGATAGTCCAATAAGGAACATAAACTTTTTTTTTTTAACCTTTTGATTGTCTCTATTAGGAAATTTTCCATGACATACAATGTTTCCCATTTCGTATCCTTGCAAAAAATAAATTAAATGTAACCCGATGGGCAACAAATAAATAATATAGCTACATAAATCAATAAAAGGATAAAATTAAAAAAGTCATCCAAGTCAGTAAATGCTTTACATGTAACGTATAATAATTATCTCTCCCAAATGTTTTAAAGTTCTTTTAAGTCAAATATTAGACGCTTGACTTCAAAGCATATAGAATGAAGCATGTTAGATAGATTGTTAGGAATTGAAAGGAGAGTAAGACAAGACAAATATTAGGCACTTTCATGCAAAAAACAAAGGTTGAAGCATGTCAGACAAGCAGCTAGGAATTAAAAACAGGTGACAAGAGGATTTCACTCAATCAGTTACAACAAAAGAACATAATAATCAGAGACTTACAAAACAGGCCAAAAAAAATACAAGAGAATTCTATTTAAATAAAAAAAATTTATATAGAGTTAAGAGTTTTCAACTCTTAACAACTAAAGGATTGTTTCCCCTCAATTCTTACTTGCTATGGTATACAAATGTAATATCAAGCCCATTCTCTTTTAATATCTTAGTCGATTGTAAAAGAATGCAAGATCAATCTTTTCCATCCCCAACAAGATAAAAAAAGCTAGTGGCACAAACAAAACATGTGTTTTAACCGCACTTGACTTTGCATCTTGCACATTGAAAGGTTTTATGCGGGATGTCTTGGATTGCATAAAAATAATTAATGCAATATGAACTTTTCAAGGTTTAACTAGAATGGAATTCACAACTTTTTTTTTAATGTTTAGAGCATGTCGTATGATTTTACTCAACAACAACAACATCAAGCCTTTATCCCACTACGTGTGGTCAGCTACATGAATCATTTTTCTCCATTGTGTCTGGTTAAGAGTCAATTTCTCATTTATATCTAATAAAGAAGGATCATTTCTAATATTTCCTAACCAAGTCTTTTTTAGGTCTACCTCTACCTTTCTTAACATATGTTAAATCTAATACATCTACTCTCCTAATCAGTTCTTCAGAAGGCCGCCATTTTATGTGACCAAGACATCTAAGACGACTCTCTCTAATCTTATCTACCACTAGAGCTACTCCAACCTTTTCACGTATATACTCATTTCGTGCCCTGTCTCAAAGAGTAAAGCTAGACATCCACCTGAGCATCCTCATATCTGAACGCTTAACTTAACATTATGCTTCTCTTTAATGGCCAACATTCTACACCATAAAGCATTGCAGGTCTAATCACCATCTTATAGAATTTTCCCTTAAGTTTGAGTGGTACTTTTCTATCATACAACAAGCCTGATGCATTCCTACACTTTATCCATCCAACTTGAATTCTACTAATAATATCCACATCTATTTCACCATCACACTGAACAATAGACCTAAGAAATCTAAAATGTGTAATCTTATTAATGACTTGATCACTCAAAGTCACAAATCCCCCACTAGATCTATTACTACTAAAATTACAATCCATGTATTCGGTTTTAGATCTACTCAAACGAAAACCTTTAGACTCTACGGTTGACCTCCATAATTCAAGTTTACCTTCAACTCCCTCTTTAGTCTTACCAACAAGAAGAATATCGTTAGCAAAAAGCATACACCAGGAAACATCCTCTAGCAATCTCTAGTAAGAACATCCATGACTAAAGCAAAAAAGATATGGGCTTAAGGTTGATCCTTGATGTAATCCAACTGAAATTGGAAAATACTTAGTCAAACCACCTTGTGTTTGAACACAAGTAATAGCTCCGTCATAAATACCCCTAATGACTTGAATATAAGTATTATTAATCCCTTTCTTTTTTAGAACTCTCCATAGCAGTTCTCTTGGAACTTTATCATATGCTTTCTCTAAATCAATAAATATCATATGAAAATCTTCCGTTTTTCTCTCTATTCTTCTCCATGTCCTATGATTTCACTCTAGAAATAAAATAAATAAATAGGAAAATAGTATTTTTTCCTTCTACTCTTTCAAACAACCAAGGGAAAATAATTGAGGAAGTTATTCATTTTATATCAAATCAAACCACCCATTAATAAAATTCTTTATTCTTTTTCAAATACAATAGATCTATCTATTCCATGATGAAATGTCAATCTATCTCTATATGTTAGACCAGGTCATAATGCACCAAATTTTTAGCAATGCTTATTACAACTTTTTATCAATCAAGTCTTATGCCCTTTTATTGATAAATATGTTGTCGTTTAAGGTATACTTATGTACAAAATTTACACAATGTGTTCATTGTCCTTCCTCTAGACAAATTTTATGCCGCCACACCACCTAAGTGCATCTTCTTCGCACCAAGAATTTCCTTTTTGGGTTATGACCATTCACAAGTCGGTCTTAAGACCGATTTGGGTTGAGACCGATTTGGCATTTCAAGGCATTAAGTCCATACGTACATCAGTACCTATTATGTTATTACCATATTTTGCACTTCCTTTTGAACTCCATTTTAATCTCTACAAGCAAGGCATCATCATCATTCTTAGCCCAACTGCCCAGCAAGTGGCTTACTTTTGTACAAAACTCAATGGGGGCATCCTTCATTATAGTACCTATGATCTCGAATTCTATGATGCCATCCAAGCCATCAAACGATAACATCACCATCTGTTTCAAATGGAAAAAAATATATACTGATCATGAAGCTTCAATGTATATCACCAACCAAGACATATACTACATTTGGCATGCTTAATGGGCCTCATTTTTACAGCAATTCACTTTTGCAGGAGCACTGAACCGAATAGCCAATGCTTTAAACCATCGATTAAAAAAGCGGTCGAGGCGTCCGAACAGAGGCGCGACTCAGTTCGAGGCGCTAACCCGGCGCCTTGAGGCTTAAGCCTCAATGTATTTGACGTGGCGTGCGATTTTTTTTAGCTAGGCGTATGCGTCGAGGCGTAACGCCTCGAGGCGGCGTGAGGCGACGCCTCATTAGGATTCGACGGAGCTCACAACAAAGAACAAATTCCTTATCTTTCGAGCGCGCTGCTTCCGCTTAGTCCCTTTTGAGAGCTGCTTCGTGTTCGACCACAAGTGAGTTCTTCGATCAGGCAGGAGTGCTCGAGAACGACCTTTCTTCCTGTTCGACCGCTGGTTTGAATCG